CCTCCGGCCCTAAGTCGGGTCCGGTAGGACCCGTGTGAGTCGAAGATGTAACACCTACTCTGCCCAGAGTGAAACAGAAAACGAAATGCTAATATCCGAAGTTGCGAAAAAGAGAAAAAAAAACTGCAGAGATTTGACGAAGTCCTACTTGATTTACTTATAATCAATCAATCAATCAATCAATCAATCAATCAACAATCAGTAGATCAAGCAAGCTGGCTAATTGATTGGGCGGATCCTCTGATTGAGAGGTCCGCTCCGATACCAAACTGTCGCATACCATAACGGTACATACCAGAACAAGAACCGACCTCTCTCACGTATTACAAGATAGCGCAGCGGAAGGCTAAAATACCGGTGATCAACCCAATTGCGAGGCCTTTGCCTCTATGAGCCCCAATCGGCCCCTTTTTGGTAGCCTGTCGGCCGCCCTAAGTGAAGGCAGGCTCAACGAGGCCCCTCAGGGCCTTATTTCGGCCTCTGCGCAACTAAGGAAAATTCAGGCAGTTGCGCAGCGCCAGTTGGTTGAGGAAACCCAGGCCCTGGGCCGCCTGTGTGAATGAATGGAAAGCAGGCCGTGGGCTGGATACGGGTACTGGGCCAAACACATGCCGAAGGCAGTTGGGCACATGCAAATACCGCAGGCCCCAGGCCTGTTCTCGATCATGCTGGGCCTCAGGCTACCGGGGCCTACTGGAAGCTTCCTTGGACTGGATGCAGGCAGGCCACTTCGATATAGCAAAGGGCCTGCCTCCTCATTCGGCATTCGGGTGCTGGCTGCATGCTGCGCTATATGCTGGCTGGCGCCTACGCGATCACGGGCGAGCAGGGAAGGAGGAGGCAGCCATAGCCGAGCTGCGCTGCTGTAAGCTGGGTGTGGCGCAGGGTGGTCCTTGGGTGCAAGTGGCATCTGTGTGTTGGGGAACGAGGTTGTGAGTGTGGCGAGAGACATACCTGGTGGTGGAAGCGTGCGACATTGGTCGCTGTATGCTCGAACTTCGGGAAAGCTGTTGACGTCATCTTTCGGCATTGTAGTCTAGGCCAGATAGGATCTGCCATCTGTAGTCTGGGCGCCGAGCGCCAGATAGGATATCAACATTGGTTCTTCATTGATGATGATGATGAGACTTTACCAGCATTGTCAATTATGAGCTCTTGGTGTCTTCTTATTTGGTGAAACTCGTGATGCAATTCTGCTGTTGGTTCGAGGTCACGACTATGCCACGATACATGGGTCCATAGCTCGGAGGTCCTCGCTCCGGGGGAGGGTAGGTCTGCAATGACTTGCTGTTTTCTGGCCGCCTGTAGCCTTTCTCTGTCGAGGCTGTACTATAGGTAGGACAGATTTGTAATTTTGTTTGGCTGAGGGCTAACCGAGAGACCTACCTGTGAGGGAACTTCGCGAGGGACATATCTGCAAATCCGGGAAAATACAGGCCCGGTACTAACAGGATTCCCTACAGCTACCCTAACTGCCCGGGCTACCCTAGGACAGACAGGCCCTAAGGGCCTATTCTGCATAGACGGTCCTATAGCCTAGCCGGGTCCGGTAGAAGAAACGGTACCGGTCGGTCAGTCAGTCCGGTCTAGGTCGAGTCTAGGCTAGTTGTAGTCTATAGATAGATTTTTGGCACATCGGTTCAGGGCTTTTGGCGGTTGGTACCATGTACATCGCGGCTGCACAACGCATGAACTGGAAGTGGTGACGGCTCAGCGTTGAGGGAGACAGCCATAGCTGGACCTTCGGAGCATCAGCTATAGCTGGGCCTGACGCTGTCCTCTGGGAGCACGCGGGGCTGTTCAGAGGTCCAAGCTATCTGGAGTCTGCTAGAAGGCAAGAGAGTTGGTGCCCTGCTGGACCCTCCTCCGGAGTGGGGTTCCAGGGTTAGGGTGCTGCAGCCATAGCTGCAGCCATAGCTGCAGCTTCTCCTCAGAGGTCATCTTGTCAGGGTTTGGTGGCGCTGCTGCAGTCTTCCACCCTGGAAGTCTTCCGACATCTCGTCATCATCAGATATTGTGGCGCTGGTCTTCTTCTTCATCCTCTGAGTGGCGCTTGGCCTCAGAGGCCTGTTTCAGGGTGGCGCTACCCCCAGGAGGCTGTATCTGGGTGGCGCTTGATGTTTCAGGGACTCAGGGGGTGTCTCGGGTGTTATTCAGGGTTGGGGAGTGAAGCGCTGCTCATTTCTGGGCAGCGCACTGTGGTACTGAAGTTATCCTGACAATTCGAGACTCTGAGTTTAATAAACAGTGTGATACTGTGTTTGGACTATCATCGTTTCATTGTTTCATGGATGTGATCTTCTCGGCTTTCCTTTATGACTGGTTGTGAGGATTGAGTGGAGTGAATTGCACATTCAGTGTACCCTGTCATATCGCATGGTCAAGTCTTCCGCTGTGTTTATCTCTCCCTGTGCAGTGTGATACTCCTATCCTCTCCCCTTCCTTCTGTGTATGCATGGGCATATCCGGAAGTCTATGTGAGCACGTGTTGGCCTTCAGGCAACGAACAACCAGACTCATAACAACTATCTGGTCTTGTGTATATGATGCTGTTTGATTGCTGAAGTTCGCTATTGCTCATCTTCCTTGCATCTGCTTCAGCGAAGAATATTTAGAAATCTGTGAAACCCGTTATACACCTTTCCCCTGCTGTTTTCATGTCATACTCTATCCTGCCCTCCCGTTGGCCCTACCTCCCCTGCCCCATACTCCTAGAGAACTCCGCCTTCTACCCCTTACCCTCCACCCTCCCCTCCACTCCCCTTGTACTACTAACAAATACATA